CCAGGCCCCACGCCGTGCAGCCGTGCGGGACACGAGGTGGAAAGGGAAGGTCGTGCCGACCGCGTGAGCCCTTTGGCACCTCACCGACAGCAACTGACACAGCCAAGGTGCAGCCAGTACAACCACAGACACTTAAGGCTGAAGGGAAATACAGCAGAATACAGTCTGAAGAGGTCCTGCAACGTTAACTCTGGAACCTAGTGATGCCAGTGCCTTTTCTCAGGTCAAGACACAAGCATGCAGTAAAGCTTTCCCGCTGTCGTGGCTTTGGCTGGGATAGAGTCAATTTTCTTTCTGGTAGCTGGCGCAGTGCTGTGTTTCGGATTTGGGATGAAAATAATGTTGATAACACACGGATGTTTTTAGCTGTTGCTAGGCAGTCAAGGACCTTCCAGCTCCTCGCACTGGCCTGGCCTGCCAGGTGCACGAGAGGCTGGGGGGGGGGGGGGGGGGACAGCTGACCGGAGCTGCCGAAGGGGTTTTCCATACCGTCTGATGTCACGCTCAGTGCACGAGCTGGGGGACGGCGATCGCCGCGCGGGGACGGGCTGAGTGTCGGTCACTGAGTGGTGAGCAATTGCATTTGTGCACCCCTTGGTTCGAATGCACGTTATTATTACCGTTACCTCTTCCTTTGCTCTCCTGCTAACCTGCCTTTACCTTAACCCCTGAGTTTTCACTGTCTCCCACTCCCCTCCCCACCCACGGCAGGGGGAAGGGGGGGAGCGAGCGAGCGGCTGCCTGGGGCTTGGCTGCCAGCTGGGGTTAAACCACGACGCCCGCTCACTGTTAATATTGATCTGACGGCTTCTTCCAGCCTCCCACCACACCTAACGAGGCGGCTGCGGGCGTTACGAGGGCTGCAGGAGGCTGCGGGCCCCCCCGGGGGGTGGTGCACCCCGGGGGTTGCTGCACTCCGGCACGGCTGCATGGTCCTGGGCCAACGGAGGCACCAGGGTGGACAGGGAGTTCCCTAAACCTGGAGCTTTTCCTGCTAACAGGCAACACCGCAGCTGGGGAGGGAACCAGGGAGGCAGCGAGGGAGCCCCGCGAGAAAGAAAAGAATCGACTCCCTCTCACTGTCTGAATCCTGCCTAAAAATAAACCCAAACTGCAATTCAGCGGAGAACGAGCGGTTTCACAGAGAAAGCACAAAACTAGGGCTCCCGGGCCCATTTCCCGCAGCCCCTCCCAGCCCCTGTTCCCGCTGCCGGGGGACAGTGCCGCCACCCACCCCAGCAAGGCAAGGCAGGCAGAAGGGGCCCCATCCTGCAGATGAAGTGAGAAGAGACCAGCTCAGAGCTCCACGAGCGAGTAACTCCGGCTGCTGCAGTCCCAGCCCACCCCCCTGTGAGGGCTCTTTCCCAGCACTGCCACCAGCACATTTTTAAACGAAAAATCTGATGGATTGAGATAGAGCCGCCCACACAAGAAGGCTCAGAACCCTCCCCCAGCACCGACAGCTCTCCAGGTAAGACATCTCGGTGCCTAATCCCGGGGCTCAGAACAAGCTTGCTCTTGTAGTTGCGTGGTGAAGTGCTTAGAACGCAGCGCAATCCCCACGCAAACACACCACTGATTAAACATAGAGGGATGATGACCAGAGCACAGCAGTCTCTGCAGACATCCAGATCACAAGTCACACACAAATATTAGGCCAAAACGTGGAAGAAGTGCTAAAGCAAAACTACGTCCTGTGTTTCTGCTTCGAGGGAGCAACGCCCAGCCGGAGGCATCTGCGGCAGCTGGGGAAGAGCAGGACAGAACAGACCCAAGCCTCACCC